TATATATATATGAAAAGTGCTAAGATTAACCCACTATCCCACATTTTCATGTATTTATTAAGGGGTTGTGATATGTGTACTTATCAAAAAGATCATTACCTTTTGTTTTAAAAATTATTTTAATAGGTAACGTTACTGTTAAGCAATGACAAATTTGAATTTTTTTTAAAAGTACAATGGCATTTGAATAGTTAGTGTCTTGAAATTTTATTTGTAGAGTGTCCTTGTAGAGCAACCTAAAATCACTCCTATTAAGATAGTCTTAGTTGGAAAATTTTCATTTCCCGAATCACATGCATAATTACCTTCATTCGGCTGATAGAAAACAAAAACCAAAAAATAAGAAATTTGGTCAACAATATCCTACCAATGGGAGGAGAGCCATGGGAGCATATACCATACACTTTCAATATTTGGGGTCCCAAGAATATGCTTAGACCAGTTTACTCAGGCAAGTGAATGTGAGATATGCACCACCAGACAATAGGATCTTTTAATAAAAAGAAACTAAAGCACAGTGATGCTTACAGTGGGAACTAGATACCCATCCCAATCAGCGTTCTTCTATCAACTACATTTTATAATAGCTTACCATGGTAGTCATTTATAGTGATACCATACTCATGGAAATTGAAATAGTGAGTTAAGCCCCCATGATGGGACAAAAATTGGAATAAAAAGAACCCTATTTCCAAAAAAGGAATGAAGAAATATTTAGGTAACAGCATCCTTGCAGTTTCATCCAAGTGGCAGTTCCTGCTTGTCACCTTTGTTCTGGGTCATGTATTCATACCGAGTATTCATGCAGTGAGAGGTGGCAGAGCACCTAATCAAAATTATCTACATGGATCGGAGAAATTTCATCGTCTACATGAAAATGTCCAACCAAACGGGCAAAGAACAACATCTGTTGCTCGATGGTGAATTTGATGTTCTCAGCCTGTGAACACTCTACATTCAGCGATCTATATCTTGTTAAAATGAAATCACACAAGAAAGAAGAAAACCAATGATACCTTGCGGAATCCATGTTGCTCTCCTTCATATTCTACCAGAGCAACTGGCAACCCTTTTTCCTGTAAAGCCATATAAATTTTACGAGCCTGATCTGGCAGCACAACCTGTGACACGACCATGTTACAACCAAACACTACTTGCTTAAGAAAGAAATTTATGGTAGGATTCTCCCTTTGGTAATAATGTGGGTTTTAGTCATCAATTTGAGGAACAAGAACGTTTGAGAAGTAGAGTAAATTGATGCCAACACCATGTTAAAATACCATATGATGAGCTTTAGATAAACAAATACAGCTAATATTAAGCTAAATTAAAAGAAAATGTGCTTTTCACACCCAAATGTGCATATCAAGGTTTCAAACAATATTTCAAACAAGACAGGACGCTGCGTTCCCATTGATTTAGTCCACATTCAAAACTTTAGAATCCCATCGAACTTGTCCAGCCAATAGAGAAGAAAAGAGAAGTTTCCATTGAGCTTGTCATTACTGCATGAAAGCTTTTGCAGGATGCCTGCTATTAGAGTTTAGACCAATAGATAAAATAGCAATTTCCAACCAGTCTGCAATTTAATGGACCTCTCTTAATATAGCTTGCACTTCCTCAAGTGCTTATAACTTCCATGCCATTTCATGAAAAGAACATAGCACCATTCTAACAACAAACTTCCCAGTTTTAACATAAACAGCCCCATGACCTAAAGTTTTTGGAGTATAAACAATTACCTTGAAAAGTACTGCAACAAAGAAGAATAGGAAAATGAGAATTATTCTGTGTATCATCAATGATGAATGCAAGATGACATCTGTCATGTACACTCTGTGTGATGATCATAATGAGATTAATTAAAGGGACAATTAACCAACATCGAACTTTCAATAGTGACACTTTTACAGGCAGCATACCCCAAATTGTTCTAAAATGAGAAATCTCCCCACAGAATTCAGTAAGAACAAAACTAACTTTTCCACAAACAAAATCCTCTTGCTAGATATGGGAAGATTAACAGAGGGTAATAGAAAATGATTGAATATAAAACATGCAGAGGTTAAAAGCTAAAATAATTCATAGTAAGAACCCAAGGAATTCAATGTGTCAAAAAAAAAAAATCTACAGAACTTAATGACATTACAACTAAGGCTTGGGGTTATAATTGTTGGCTTTAGGGTCCTTCAGATCCGTATTAACAAGTTACAGAGATAAACTTCGATGCAGTTTTTAACCGGAGAGAAAATGCCAAAACAAGTTGTACTGCAGCAAGATTATGGGCCACTGTTTTAACCATGGTGAAAGCACACATGACATTTTTAGAGGTGAATCTCTGGGAACTTACTCTGCCACTAACAAGAAATGTAATTCAAGTCAAGATGTGGACTAAGCAAGCTTAATACCCTGCAAAATAGCGAACAGAACTGAGACATCTCAATTAGCTGCAACAAAAAATTGCAACGAGGTCATCTCTCCTTTTCGCTAGAGTAGCACGTACCCTAACTGGGGTTTTAGAAGATATGCCACTAGACATCTTTTGCACAAGACCATCGATCACCAGCTTCACAGCTATTTCACATTGATGTTCGCTAAAATCACTATCCTCTTCAACATCCAATTCAATCTCATCACTTCCACTACAGGACCTTGACATGTCTTCCCTCTCTGCAACCTCTCCTCCATCCACCCATCGTCTCTTCCTCTCGTCGACTCCTTGTCTGATCCCCATTCCCTCAGTCTGGTCAACCAATCTTGCCGCTCAGCTTCAGACCTCCCTTGTGGCTCCTTCTCCCCCAGAGAAACGGCTGTAAGGGGATGTAGAAATGGGCAATGAACCTTTGGAAGGAACCTGGCCTGACCTGCAGGCTCCGCTCTAAAGGCTCCTATCTCTTCTCCTTTCCATCTGCTGAGGGAGCTTTGGCAGTTTTAAGGAGTAACTATCACTTCTCCTTTCAAGGAGCCTGCCTGTCCCTCTCTCGCTGGACTGAAGATGTGGGAGCGTTCTGATGCCAAAAGATTTGGATCACTGTCTCTTCCATTCCGCTCCATTCCTGGTGTGTCGATACCTTTTGGGTCATCGGGATGCTTGTGCGTTGTTTGTGGCTGTTCATTGGCAATCCCTGGACAGTTTTCCACTCGGGTCTTTGAGGATGATTGTAGACATTCTGGATCTGAAGTTCATTCCTCCATGTCTTTGGTTTGACATGTCAGGGACATTCTATCAAGTCTTCATTTCCTGATCCTCGACTTCCCATCCCTTGCCTCACTTTGTCTCTCATCCCTCCTCTTTGGCTCAACCCTCTTCCTCCGGACCACTTTCTTCTGGCCCACGGATGGTGGTTTCCCATAAACGCCATTCTGGCCGCCTCCACTTTGGCGCTCCTCACCGAAAGGGCTCCTCATTCGCTTGTGCCCAACCTCCACATCCATTTCAACCTCCTCCACCCCCATCGTTCTCGCCCCCGGGTCCTCCCTCGGTCACCGAGCCAACTGTTGAGTCTGACGACGGTCGATCTGCCTCGAGATCAAGTACGATGGATATCCCCATCATTGCACCTGAGGACCCGCAACCATCATTGATTGCTGCAAACCCTTAGTCGCCTCCGTACCCTAAGGCCCGGTCTCTCCCTAGGAACCACGTGGCCCCTCCGTATGGATCTCGGTCTAAGCAATCCTTTGTTCCTACAGATCCGTCACCTCTCACCTCATCCACCGTAGCAACTCTTTCCTTGGGGGGACATGTGGCGGCTGCTGCTCCTCTTGGAGATTTCTTTTTTGGCTTCATCCCTCTCTCTCTTCCTCTCCCCTCGCTCAACCGCTCTACTCTCTCTCCTTTCTTTTCCTTGTCTCCTCTTGAGGCTGGGGCCCCCTCGAGTTCCGAACCACCGCCTTTCCCTCCCTCTAAGAGTCCCCCTCCTGGCATTGTCCCCCTCCAATCCTCCTGTGGAGGTACCCTCATCCCACTCTTCTATTATTTCTTCTCCTCCATCCACCCCTCCCCCCTCACCATCGCCGCTGGTGTCAAGAGGCCTCTCCTTTCCCCTTTCGTTCCTAACCCTATCTCCATTGCTACCTCGTCGCCTTCTTTCTGTGATACCTGGTCCTACCCCCCCCTCATTGATCTAGGGGATTCCCAGCTTCCTTTGGCGGCAGAGTCACCCCCTAATCCTCCATCCTCCATCCCTACTCCTGCTGAACCCGTGGACCCCCATCCTCCATCCCTACTCCTGCTGAACCTGTGGACCCCCATCCTCTCTCTACCCCGATTGAGGGCAGTATCCCCAATGATCCCTCCTTTGGGAATCCCATCATCGTCTTCTGTCCAGTGGGCTTTTCCGCACCGTCATCCTCACTATTAGAGTATCTTCCTCCTCCATTCGGTATTTTTCAATGGCCGCCACCCTCATTCCTACCCTCCCCTTACCTTTGCCCCCCCCCTAGTTCTTCGTTCCGAGAGTCCAGAGCCGCTCGATTCTCTATCTCTCGTCGAGTTTCTTTTCTCCCTATTCCCCGTCCTTGCTTGGGGCCACCCCCGACTTGGAGCTCTTCTCCACTAAATCCCTGTCATTCTTCCATCCTACCCCCTGCTCCTACTCCCACCTTCAATTGACCCTCTCCATATTTCACAGAACTTCCACCTCTCCTCCCACCACCCACGTCGAGCGACCCCTATCCTCTTTTACAATCCCTCACTCTGAAAGACGAGGTCCCTCCTGCAGCAGACCCATTCGGCTTGCCCTCGGCCATTTTTAGACCCATTCCAGAAGATGGCCTGCCTTCTCTCAGATGGCCAGCCTACCCCTTTGTAGGCACATCTTCATCGGCCCTCTCGCTGGAGGTTCCTTACTCGTCAGCAGCTATGAGTCTTTCGGACTCCCTAGACTCGGTAGGGAACCCCCCTCCCCACCATTGGTCAACTCCAATTATGTTAATCATATGGATGCGGCAGAAGGAGACATCAACCAAGTGTTTCAGGTTATGGGCTTCCCATACTCAGGTCCCGAAGGACCGTTCCACGAGTTTTTCAACGCAGATGCTCAGACTAGATTCAGGTCGCAAGTTCTGTTAATTATGACAAAACCACCGCTATTTCTCTCTCTTCCTTGCCTCTTCCCCTTTTGTTACCTTCTGGTGGGCCCCTTCTTAGGAGGTCACCTCGGTTGGCGCCACATACCACTTCCTCTTAATGTATATTCTTTCTTGGAAAATTCACGGGCTCGGGTTGACCTACAAGAAACAAGTTGTTAGAGATTTTTGCTTCAAATACCGCCCCACCATCTTGGCTTTAACTGAAACCAAGCTCCCTGAGCCCTCACTATCTGTTGTTTGTCAAGTGTGGGGCTGACGCCCATGTAAATTGATAGCTCTACCTGCAGAGGGTGCTTATGGTGGGGTTTGGGTGATTTGGCACCCTTCTGCCCATTCCCTAATCTCAAACCCACATAGCCTCCTACTCGGTCTCGATTCTACTTACCAGAATTTCTGACGGTTTACCTTTGAAATCCTCAGCAGTCTATGGGCCCAACCTTGACTCCAGGCGTTAGTTGCTGTGGGTTGAACTCAACTCGGTGGCTGCCTTACCACACCCCATTTAGTGCATTGGGGGAGACTTTAATATCACAAAGTGGTCATTCGAAAGGAATACCTCCACTAGGATCACACAGGCCATGTCTATTTCTTCGATTTTTGTCTCCTCGAACAATCTCATTGACTTGCCTATCCAAGGAACTCAGTTCACTTGGTCGAACCATTCCTCTTCACCTTCCCTTTCCAAACATGGTAGATTTCTTATCTTCGTGGATTGGGACCACCCCTTTACTAATTCCAATGTTGTAGCCCTACCCAAACCAAACTCCGACCAGTGCGCCATTTTTGCTTAACACCAATCTCGTAGTTAGGGGAGTCAAACCTTTTAGGTTCGAACTGACTTGGCTTGAAGAACCATCTTTACCCTATCTCTTCTCCTCTTGGTGGCATGCGCTGGAAAATAAGGTGGTCGGCTGGGCGGGCTTGAGATTTCAGCAAACTACAGCTGATCAAGAGCAACCTCAAATCTTGCAGTTCACAGTTGCTTAGCAATGTCGCCACCCTAAAGAATCACCAGTTGTAAGCTATA